ATTGGCCCTCCAGTGGAACTGGTTGCCCAGCGTGGTGTAGCAGTTAAGAGAAGGGGCGATTTCGCACTAGAGCTGCCTTGCGGCGCAGCCGCCTTTTGCCCCGACACAAAAATGTCAATTTCACACCCGAAGCTGCGGGGCTGCATTTTGACTCGCGGCTTCGCCCTATTTCCTCCGCAGTTTCGTGATCCTGGTTTTTAAGTATCACGGAACTGCGGAGGAAATCGGGCGAAGCCGTGGGTCAAATGCAGCCCCGCAGCCTCGGGTGTGAAATTGACATGTTTGTGTCGGGGCAAACAGCAGCTGCGCCGCGAGGCAGCTCTAGTGCGAAATCGCCCAAGCAGACTCTAATCTGGAGAACCGGGTTTGATTTCCCACTCCTCCGCATGAAGCCTGCTGGGTGACTTCTCAGGCCCACCTACCTCACAAGGTGCCTGTTGTGGGGAGGGGAAGGGAAGGCAATTGTAAGCTGCTTTGAGACTCCTTATGGTAGAAAAAAGTGGGGTATAAAAACCAATTCTTCTCCCCCTCCTGAGTCAGTTTGGTGTAGTGGTTAACAGTGTGGACTCTAATCTGGAAGAACCAGATTTGATTCCCCACTCCTCCACTTGCAGCTGCTGGTGTGACCTTGGGCGTGTCACAAGTTCTCTCACAGTTGCTCTCTCAAGAGCTGTCATCCAGAGAGCTCTCTCAGCCCTGCCTCCCTCACAGGGTGTCTGTTGTGGGGAGGGGGAGGGAAAGGCGATTGTAAGCTGCTCTGAGACTCCAATCTCCTCCTCCTCCTTCACTTGATCAGACCAGTGGGGAAATACTTGGGGGCAGAAAACAGCATCTGTAATGTGATAAGAATCCGGCGTCCCTCTTCAGTCAGAGGGGGCACATTGTTCTGAACATGAATGGACTCAAGAACTGGTAATTGTGTTGGTCTTTAAGGTTCTACTGGACTCAACTCTTGTTCTTCTAATGCAGACCAGCAAGCCTACCCACCTGAAATGACCCCAACAGGGGTTTTCAAAGGCATCCATCATTTAGTGTCACCGGCTGGTTCGCCCACATAAATACCTGCCAATCAAACATTTTGTGCAGCAGTCTCTGACAGCTAACTGCAACCTTGTAGTCTGGTTGCTGGCTGTATTTTCCGTCATTACCTTGTTTGACGGGTCAGCTGGATGTCTCTGTAGAGCGTATAAGTGTGAGTTCCGAGGAAGATGTACGGCTCCATAGCCACCCCTTTAATGGAGGCATACTCTTTTTCCTGGAGTCCAAATGCCTCCATCAGGTCAAACCCTGGAACAAGTAGAGAAAGAGAACAGGAAGGCTGAATAGGAGGCACCATTCTTATTGGAAGCCAGGAGAGAGACCACCTTTAGGAGGAGGAATAGAGAGGGAAGGTCATGTGACAAATCCATGGCCAGTAGGGGATTTGAACCCAGGTCTTCCAAATTCAGGTTCAAATTTTCACCCATCTCATTGCACTCGTTCTTCTACAACCTGGCTAGCTTCAAACTAGAAAGATTCTGTGAATCAAAAGGGTTGCAAACTCAGGGCTGGGAGCTGAACAGGGCTGGGATTGTTGGAGTGAGGCATTGAGCATGTCTGGACATTGAGGGGCACTACATCACTCGATGAGTGTAAAGGTGTGATCCCCTTGAATGGGATGCCTCTCTTTGTCTTTACCTGGCAGCTGCCCTCTGACTCCTCCCCTTTCTCATTTTGTCGTCTCCCTCTCTTCCACATGGCCTTCCATGTGAAGGTCTCTCCTGATGGAGCTGCCCTCTGACTCCTCCCCTTTCTCATTTTGTCGTCTCCCTCTCTTCACATGGCCTTCCATTTGAAGGTCTCTCCTGTAGGCACAATGCCCTCATGCTCCAACACACACGATGCTGGACACACTGGCCATTTGTGAGAGGGAAAGGACTCTTTGGACGAGGCTTCTCCCTCTCTTTTCGACTGCAGCCTGAATGTGAACTGGATCGAATAATTGTAAGTTTACCTCGTTTTGCAATATACTTGGGAGATTTATTCACTGCACTCGGTATCACGCTTCTGTGACTAGGCTATATTAACCAAATATCCCAAGAGCGATATCACAGAGTCCACCCTCCAAATCATCCATTTTCACCGGGGGCACTGGTCTCTGTACTCTGGAGATCCATTGTAACTCTGGGAGATCTCCAGGCCCCACCTGGAGGTGGAACTCCAAAAACAACATCCGTGATAAAAATAACGAAGAGTCAATAAAGATAAGCTGCAAAAACATTTACTGAAGTGTTTCTGTAGTTCTGTCATTGCTCACACGCTAACGAATACTGCACAATGTGAACATTCGTTTCGCAATATTTACTTTATCTGAGCGTTTCGCAATATTTACTTTATCAAAGGCTGCGGTCACACGGAGCATTAGCCACGCTACTGAGACGGATGATAGGCGGATTTTCTGGGCACGATCACACTGCAACATCTGGGAAGCGTTGAGTTCCCATGGCGAACCCGAGGCTTCCCACCGAAGATGCGGAGTTAAAAACTAGTACCTCCAAGGTACTAGTTTCCGGAAACCGTGGGGCAAGGGCTGGCGTCTGATCGCGTTTCCGGTGGTAGTCCATAGCATCCGGCACCCACCCATGTCCCGACGCAAACAGGGTTTTTTTCCCCCAAGTCTCCACAGGATGCGCACAAGCACCCAACGGCACATGCACACGAAGAGGAAAGCGAAAGTTCCATTGCTTCGGAGAATCGCGCATGCCGTTGGTGAGATCGCACCATGCCGCTTCTTTGCCGTGCTGCAGGATCGTCGTGTGATCGCCACCTCCCCCCGAACCACGGGACGTCGGCGGGACATGGGATCTGTTTGCTCCGGGGCAAACAGCCACACTTCCCCCAGCATTTTCCGGCCCGTGTGACCGGGGCCAAATACTACTTATCAACTCTTGCTGGAGACATTCCATGTTGACTAATAACAGGACCCAAGATCACATATGTTGTTTTTGGAGTTCCACCTCTTCCCGTGATCTCTCATTTTGGCTCCCTCCTGGAGGCTGGCAACCCTACACATCAGTCCTTACAATTCCTCCATAGGGTGGCTTGAAAACCCCATCGGCTTACATACAGCAATGAGCAAGCTGGTAAAATGTTGGGATGGAAATGTAAATGCTTTCCCACATTTTTCTATCTTTTTTTAAAAAAAACCTTTCTCTTTAAACTGCTAACCAGAGGTTAACCTGGGTAACGTGGAGAATACATGTTCTCCAACCAAAAAAGAAGAAATGTTTTCGGCCCTAGATGCTTCCTTCCCCCTCCTGAGCTCCTCATTAAAGCTCCGTGAGTCACTTTCTTGCAGAGAACAGTTTAATACAAGCTCGCAATCAGCATGTTTCTTTTCCCTCCCTCTGCTTATCTGAAATTTATGGAAAGCTGGAGTGGTGTGTGGGGGGGAACAAGTGGGGGAAAAAAGAAACTGTATAAATAGTAAGGGGGACAAACGGCAATCTTTAAAAATTCAAGCAATATCCTGCCTCCACTCGTTCCATCTCGCCGTCGTTTCTGTCTTCGGTCGCTCACTTCTGATGGTTATCCTGACGGCAGAAGGGGGGGGGAGAATTCTGCAGAATTAGAAAGTTTCTACGATCACATCTGGCCTGTTTTAAGGACCCAGGGATGTCTCGTTAAAGAGCATGGTGCTGCAAATCCGACCGTCTCAATTAAAGTGTCCTCCCACAGTTAATAATGTTATCGCCCGGAAGTAGGTGCTGTAGCAGTGAATGTAATAATGTTGAAGGAGGTCAGAGGCCAGAGGCAATGCCCCTTCGAGACCCCTTGCCTGTTTTTCCAGCCAAAAGGGGAAAAAAATAAAGTTATGAAGGAGCATTCCAAAAGGAGCAGCTGCCTTAGCTTTTCTGGCCAGATTTGTGCTCAAGGTGTGTCTGAAGAAGAGATTGGATTTATACCACAGCCTTCACTACCTGAAAGAGTCTCAGAGTGGCTTACAATCTCCCTTCCCTTCCCCACAACAGACACCCTGTGATGCAGGTGGGGCGCTCTCCCGAGAACTGTTGGTGAGAGAACAGCTCTGAAAGAGCTTGTGACTGACCCAAGGTCACACCAGCAGCTGCTTGTGGAGGAGTGGGGAATCAAACCTGGTTCTCCCAGATTAGAGTCCGTGCTCCTAACCGCTACACCAAACTGGCTCTTTTCTGAAAGACCTCTCCCTGCAATTTTTTTTATACAGGTTGCTGCTGTTCACATCCCAGACCGATTGTGGCGGCGTTTTTGTTTGAAGTTAAGAGTGAGAAAAATGTCTGGCAGCAAACATGAAAAAATGAGGGGCTTTGTGGTAGGATTGCCAACTCCGTGTTGGGAAATTCCTGGAGATTTGGGGGTGAAGCCACAGGAAGGGCACGGTCAGTGCCGTAGAAGCTGCCCTTGAAGGCAGCCATTTTATCCGGGGGAACTGAACTCTGTTGTGTGGAGATAAAATGGGATTATGGGAGCTCTCCTGGTCCTACCTTGTGGGGTGTCTGAAAAGTTTCCTGAAAGACCCCTCCCCGCAATTTTTTTGATACAGATTGCTGCTGTTCACGTCCCTGAGAGACTGTGGCCGCGTTTTTGTTTGGAAAACAGACCTTTTTTCTTTCTAACAAAAAATGACACTGGCGTGTATCCAACCCTGCAGTTTTGTTCGGGGGGGGGGGCGGTCACCAGAGGTCAGAAATAGCATAGATGGAAGGGCTCTTTTTGTAGAAGGGACTCCTTTGCATATTAAGCGACACACCCCTGATGTAGCCAATCCTCCAAGAGCTTACAGTAGCCCCTGTAAGAAGAGCTCTGTAAGCTCTTGGAGGATTGGCTACATTAGGGGGTGTGGCCTAATATGCAAAGGAGTACCTGCTACAAAAAGAGCCCTCACTGAAGGGTCTGCAGAAGGAGGGAGGGATCAGCAGAGACCTTAAGAAAACCTCTTAAGAAAACCTTAGTGCTCTCCTCAATGTGTAATTGGATAATAGGCCTTTTCTACCCAGCCAATCACATCTGGGTGCATGGTGGTGACATTACTCAGGGTGAATACAGCTAATTCAGAGTGAGGGCAGTACTTTTAATTGTTTGGTTTTTATTGAACATTTTATATCCTGCCTTTACTTGCGGTTCACAGTGGCTCGTGGAACACACTGGTTCACAGAGAGCCAGTTTGGTGTCGTGGTTAAGTGCGCGGACTCTAATCTGGGAGAACCGGGTTTGATTCCCCACTCCTCCACTTGCACCTGGCTGGATGACCTCGGGCAAGCCGTAGTTCTGATAAGAGCTGTTCTTGAAAAAGAGCAGTTCTGTCAAGAGTTCTCTCAGCTCCGCCTACCTCACAGGCTGTTTGTTGTGGGGAGGGGAAGGGAAAGGAGATTGTAAGCCGCTCTGAGACTCTGAGTGAAGAGCGGGGTATAAATCCAATCTCCCATTCTTCTTGTTCTTTTTGAAAAGGTATCACCTTACCCCTGAGTCCATCTCTGTCACCTCTAAGTTCACTGGACAAATTCCGTCTCTTCGGCCTTCCTTTCCATAAGCCCTCATACTGAAAAAAGTGCCTTTTGCCTACAGAAAGTTGTAGCTTTTGAAAAATCAAGAACAAAACGATTTGAAGGATGTGAATAAGTCAGGAACCAGCCTGATTTTTCTACAGTTTCCAACCTCCAGGTGGGGGCTGGAGATCTCCCACCATCATAACATCTCCAGACTACAGAGACCCATTTCCCTGGAGAAAATGGCTGCTTTGGGAGGTGAACTCGATGGCATTGTATCCTGCTGAGGTTCCCTCCCGTCCTCAAACCCTGTCCTCCCCAGGCTCCAACCCCAAAATCTCCAGGCATGTCCTGGCAACCCTAGGTAGGAGACTTCCGGGACTACTGGCAATATTCTGATGTTGCTGCTGATGTCACTTCCAGTGATGTCACTGATGTCACTTCCAGTGGACTTGGAAATAACATCTTCACATAGAAGTGACGGTCTAGCTGTCTCTCAAAACTCTATGGTCTGGTTTGCTTCCGGGTACGGCACAGCGACGGGCGGCGCGAGGCTCGCTCTGAGCCGCCCGATTCCCAAACGCTCTTTTTGGAGCCCCCCCCCCCCCCCGCTTCTGGGGTA